TCCGTAAGAATCAGCTGATTTTTCTCTTACAAATTTGTATAGATTAAAACTACTAAAAGTGAGTACTCCAGTAGTGTTCGCCCTCTTTACCTGCTAATAGTCTAGCTCTGGTATCACCTAAAATATTTCTATTTATTTTCATTATTACTTTATTGTTTTATTGCTATTATTAATCATATTATCCACGCTGCTTCTGATTTTCTTGCATGAGCTTCTACTGTCGGTAGATGTCGCTGCCTCTCCTCCTCTCAGCTAAGTGTGTCAGCGTTACCGGGGGACAGGACAGGCGCATGTTTCCCTGCCTCTCGTGTTTTCCCTCATTCTGCTCTCCGCTATTCAAACCTCTGAGAGGGAAACCACACAGTCCCAGTCTGAACTCCACTCTCTCCACGCCGGTCGATCGCCAAAGTACTGGAAAATACCCCCGGGGAGCCACCTTTTTTCTTCTACTTTTTTTTTTAAATCTTTTTTTCCTCCCTGCTTATAAGCACCGGGATACAGAACTGCAGCAGAGTGGCCGTGCTGGTTCCAGAGATGTCCTGCATGCGGAATATGGTGAGTGCCAGTTTGTTTTTCCCAATCTTGCCGTGATCTGCTTCCACTGCTGCGCATGCAGAGCTGCAGCTGGAAATTGTGTCAGTGCATGGTGCGTTGTGGTCAATGATGATCCAATAAATCAATCAATAAATAAAAACTTAAGACGTGAAAGGACCGCGCTTGATAAGCCTGCCTGTGCAGATTAAAGCCTTTAAAGTGACACAGTGTCGCTCTCCCAAAGTTTTTAGCTCCTAAATCAGGGTTAATCCTTACGGCTACCCAGCCGTCTGCAGTGCTTTCACCCTGTCAGTGAGTATGTTAAAGAGAAGGGGGGTTGGTGGACCCATATATTTTTGTTCTTTTTAGCCTTTAACTCTGGTCACTTTGCAGCTTTGGTGGTCTCCTGCACTTCTACTGTTGGGCCTGCACGGTTGTAAATGTTTGGCTCTCTGTTTGATGCCCAGGAGTTTGGGGACAAAAGCTGTTTCTCTGTGAGCGTCTGTGTTTGGATGGCGTGGGAGGGGGAAGGAGGTTGGTGCCTGTGGGGGGATGTCTTGGGGACTGCCAGGCTGTCGTCGTGGAGACCAGAGGCCACAGGTGACCTCTGACCCGAGAAGTCGCGGAGCGTTGCAGAAGGAGTCCTTTGACTGCCGTGGTTATGGGCGTATGCTGACGCAAGAGCAAGCGCACATCAGAGAGACAAGTGCAGGCTGTTGTTGGAGACTGCGCGCTAACCATTCCTGTAATTTAGGATTGGAGGTGATGGCGGGGTGATGCTGCTGTCTCTGCTGCTGTGAGATTGCGCTCGTCACTGCATGGCAATCACCCAGACAGCTTAAGTGCTGTTTAGGCTTCAAGTCGCCACATAAAAACACATTCCTCCATGTGATCACCCAGGAGATAAAATTCTGCAATCAGAGCTTTAACATCTGTGTCTGTGACACCAGATTGCTTTCATGTAGTTTGTTTTTTGTGTGTGTGCAGAAACTTGTTACGCCAATCAGTAAAGAGAAGTAATAATTTGATAACTATTTGAAGAATCTGCAGAGCAAATATAACGATCTCTCTTTTGTGTCAGTGTAAAACTAATACCTTGGCTGTCACACTGTATATTGATTTAAGCTCAAATAATCCCAAATGATCATGTCCTCTCGATCTATTAAAGAAAAAAAAGGCTGTGACACTATTTATAGGCACATTGTACACTCTAGAATATTAAATCTAAGCTCTATTCGGGAGATTGTTGGATTTTTTTTTAGGGCTTTTTATTTATTTATTTTGACACAGTCAGTCTTTGGTGCTCTTCTCTCAGCAGAATCAGCCAAACAGCTGATGAGAGCTCCTCGTTCAGCTGTTTGAGCTCTGGGGGACTGATGCTCCCCCCCCGGTGAGTGTGCGTTTGTGAGTGTGCCTCTGTGTCTGTCTCCCTAAACCACAAGCAGCTGATGAAACACATATTCTGCTGACTATTTGGTGAGCGTAGTAAAGATTAGAGGATCCAGATTGTGGTCCATCAATCAGACTGATGTTTAGTGGGCTCTCCCAGCTCTGCACTCTCATACTTTGCTTGTTTTAATGCAGGCACCAAAGGTGCAACTGAATGTCCTCCCCCCCAAATGTGCTCCATACGATGCAATATGCTGTTTATCTTGATATTATTTTGTGGCACAAAAGTGCACAGAAAGCCAATCATGTGTACTACACTCAAGCAGATGGTGGAATGGGGAGAGCACAGCAGTAATGGCACAGTCCTCCTCATGTGATATTTCCCCTCAGGCTAGCCACCTAATCAAACACTAATCAGCTCTCCTTCCACTCACTGGTTTTGCTCTGCCTCAGCGTTCCACAGATTTCCCCTTCCTCCAACCTCTGTTCTCACTTCTCCTGATCCCGAGCTTATCCTGTTTCGCTATTCTCCTTGTGCGTTTTGTGTGCGGTCATTCCCAAAACTCCATGTCTGATTGCTCTAAGGTGAAAGTGTCATGTTCTTACACTCAACACTCCTCCCCTTCGCTCATCCCTCTCCCCGTGGCTTGGCCTGATCTGCACTCAAGGCCGTCTGTCGCTGCAATTAAAGCCAGGCCAGGTTAAGAAAATCACTGCAGGACCTGGCCAAGTGTGCAGGGCTGCCAGCCTTTATTCTGCCACGGTTTGATTTAATGCTGTTTAGCTTTCGAACCCACCACAGTCAAGAGTAGTTTCTATCAGGAACTGTGTAAGTAATTGGCAGCAAGTTCTGTATAATTTCTAACCAGCGTGTTAACCATGTGAACCACAATGCTTGCTGCATTAGCATGCCCCCTGTTCTCACTCACAGGTTACAAGTGCCCATACAGAGAACACACCCAAGTTAATCATTGGCCCCGAGTGGCAGGTGTTTCCTTATAGCTGGAGATTAATCTTTGGGAGTATTTTACCGTTCCTGCCACTTCCTCTTAACAGATTTTGAAACTTAAATGCAGCAAAGTCACAACTTCGCAAATTAAACCTGCAGAGCAGTGGTTGTGTCAGTTGGCTAACACTGATTCCGATTGTTTATCTATGAGGTAACATGGCTGCTATGCAGGTTTAATCCTAAAGTTGTCCAGCGCTATCTGCCAGAGATATTCTGAAAGTCCCCAACTTTCACACTTTCACATAAGTACTGCAAAGTACAGAACATCACAGATTCATGATGTATAACAGTTTTAAGTGTAAGTGTGAGTGAGCATGGGTGGATTTGGCATCATCGGGAGTTGGCTTGGTGGCCCACACTCATTTCTGTCAATCAAAATCAGTTTAACTGCCAGACTCACTTTTTGACATTTAATCCCTGCAAAAGTGTACTTTGCCCATTATTTGGTGGTATATAACTGACTGCGTGGTTAGCTGACCTCCCAACTGACTGCTTAACAATTACCTCATCCTCATGAGACAGACCGAACCCTTTGACCTTCAGAGGGGAAAGGTCTGAGAGTGTAGGAGGCCGGACAGACCCTTTTGTCTTTAAATGTCACCAACTCAGAAGGATGACGTGAATAGCTCCGCCGCTCACTCTGGCATCGCCTCATCCTGGGACTACACACTCATTTATGGAACGCAACATTTTCCCGTGAGTCAAATGCAACCTGTTTACCTCATCTCAGCCTTATCGCTTGCTTGTGTTTTTATTGATCGGGCTTATCTCCCTGTGAGAAGCGCTCACACTCACCTCCTCCCTGTAGTTATCAGCAGCAGCGGTTACCTTCTGTGTGTGTCTGTTGCGTTGCGCTCAGCCCGTGTCTCCTATTTATTCTGAAGAATTGTAGTGTTGCAGAACAAAAGGCCACGAGTCAAAGCCCTCCTCTGTGAGTGGGCATTGTTGTATTTATATCCGCGTGTACAAGTAGCGGTCGTCGAGGTAGCCGCGGCTCTGTTCTCTCCAACGGCATTTCAGTTTGCTGTCACATCGTGTGCTCTCAAAAGAAATCAACGTGGTGGTTTTAAAGGTTACAGTGAGCTTCCATGACCTCCTAGTGTCTCCCTTATGTCTCATAGGTAGTTAAGTGGATCAGCGGTGAAGACTTGTTGAGGCTGTATTTCTCTTTTTTTATTATGTCATTTAAAACCAGGAGCTTGTATGAAAGTATGAATATAGCCGCTGTAATGTCACCCAATGGTTAGTGAACTCCTGTTTTTATGGCTCGATTTTAGCTTTTTTAATTTTTGGAACCAGATATGTGGGGGCAGGAGGGTGAAGTGCTAAAGCTGTATTTGGCTTTTACACTTATTCACTCCCTGTATAGTGTTTGGAAGACCAAACACAAGCAGACAGCTATTGATATACACTCAGCAGGCACTTTATCAACTGCCCCTCATTGCAAATATCTAATGTAAATATCTAGCCAATCACATGGCAGCACCTCATTGTATTTAGGCATATAGACGCGGTCAAGACGACCTGCTGAAGTTTAAACCAAGCAGCAGAATGGGGAAGAAAGGTGATTTAAGTGACTTTGAATCTGGCGTGATTGGCTGAGTATTTTAAAAATTGCAGATCTACTGGGATTCCCCACAGAACCATCTCTGAGGAATTATCTGAAAAAGGGAAGATACCTAGGTAGTAGCAGATCTCTGGAGAAAATGTCTTGTTGAAATCAGAGGTCGGAGAACAATAGCAACAGTAACTCTAATTACTACTTATTACAACCGAGCTATGCAGAAGAGCATTTCTGAGTGCACAACACGTCAAACTTTGAAGCAGATGGGTCAGAGCAGCAGAAGACCGCACCAAACGCCACAGCTAAGAACGGAAAACTGAGGGTACAATTCGCACTGGGACACCAAAATTGCACAATAGAGAACTGGAACAAAGTTGCCTGGTCTGATGGGTCTCAATTTTTTACTGCAACGTTTTGATGGTGGAGTCAGAACGTGATCTAAATCAGCAGTCCCCAACCTTTTTTGCGCCACGGACCGGTTTAATGTCAGACAATATTTTCACAGACCGTCCAAATAAATGCAACAAAATAAAATGATACGACCAAGACAAAAACTGTGGTATTTTGCAAATATAATAAGAAGCGCAAATTCCCTGTGTAAATGTTTAACTTTATTAGCAGCGTCCTCCTGAAAACCGCCAACAACATCTACCCCTTAATGCATTCTGGCCGCTATAGTAACGTGTAACTATTTCTTTTAAAATGAGCCGTACAACTACAACACGAGAAAAAGGGAAACTGAGTCAATGATAAAAAACCCTGAAAAATCATAACATTTTACACCCGAGCCGCCCTCAACTCTCGCGGCACGATACCAAACGACTCAAGGACCGGTACCGGTCCGTGGCCCGGGGGTTGGGGACTGCTGATGTAAACAACATGAAAGCATGCCACAAAGCTCAGATCATCTCAAACTAGTTTCTTGAACATGACAATGAGATCACTGTACTCAGTTGGCCTCCACAGTCAGCAGACCTCAATCCAATAGAGCGACATTGTGAATGTGCAGCCAACAAACAAACTGCATGTCCTCTCAATATTGACCAAAATCTCTGAGGAATGTTTCCAGCACCTTGTTCAATCTGTGAATGAAGAATTAAGGCATCACTGAAGGCAAAAGGAGGTCCAACATTATTCCATTTAATATTGCTTCACGATTGCGTACCAGCTTTTCATAATTATTTCACTCTGTAAACCAAATATTGAAGGATATGGAGCCCTTATTGTTTTTAATTTTAAGTTTCGTTTAATTTAACATAACAGACTTTGAGGTCTAACATGTGTAATCTGTACACACATAACTTCTTTTATAATATAGCCTACTAAACAAGCAAGGCTGAAATTGTGTTATAAAATGCTTCTATTCCCTTTCTTCTTTATTGTTTTATTGATACATTCAACAACAAAAGAAAGCGACTACAAGAAACATTAGAGACGGGTCATGGATAAAAAAA